AGAGCTCCCTTACATATATTAGTGTACTTAATTCTTAAGGTTCCTCCTAAGATTAGGTATTATATCTGTTTGCATTTTATACATGAGGAAACAAGAGCGGGGAAGGACTATGAATTATTTGCCCCAAGACCACTTAGCTAACACTGAGGGGCAAAGCTAGGTAGGACTTGAACTCAGAACATTTCCTTCCAGAGCCCATGTCTTAATCACAGCCCGACCTCTATTACTTGATAAGAGTTATGCCTGCTGGCTTTTTAGAATTCTATTAATCTAAACTGAGCTGCCCGCTATACAGCTCTGGAGGGCTTCTCTGTACTTACCTGTGCATTTATGCATGTGTGTGTCTGTGAGTATATATACATATCGTGCAAATGGGGTATCCATATTGTTCAATAGCTGTCTACACCTGTGTAATTTTTAATCTCTTTTTTTCTCTGTATACATGCCTGCATGATGTACACAAATACACACACAGAGCATACAATAATGTGCATGCATGCACACATGCACCAGCCTATTACACCTTACTGCCACTTTCAAAAATGAAAGTAAGCTAAGGTAGCCTCAAGCTAAGACAGTCTGTCTTCTTGTCTCATCTATATTATGTCAGTGTTAAAACAGCATTTCTTCCTGTCTCATTTATATTATGTCAGTGTTAAAACAGAATTTCTGAGATGTTTCTACAAATGTTTTGAGAGCTTTAATGCTTTACAAAACCTTTAGTTCCTTCATTTATAAGTACTGAGTTGTTTCTTGGTGTAGGGGTGGAAACTGGGGTTCAGACATGAGCCGACATGGTATTCTCATGTAGAACTGAATCCCTCCAGAATGAATTCAGCAACAGTGTTTGAACCCAGCACTAGAATCTCTCAAGGCTATTATTATATTCCCTGGCCAGTTTCCCCCCTACTCCTGGATTTGGGACTGAGAGCAATGATAAGAGGGTAACATGTTTCCATAGCAGAGTCTTGCATCTGTAATTCTGTCTGCATGTATTCTCTTATTAGGTAACCAGCCACAGCAAGGAGTAACTCCTTATGGGCATCCTTCACACTTTTGAATCTGGAAGAGGAGAAGACATGAAGTTTTATGTTTGCACACACAAAAAAAATATATATATAAAAGATCACATGTATTGCATTAACTCATTCTTAGGAATGTCCCTTTGTCCTTTTATTTCCTTAGTTTTGTGCTACTTTTTTGTTTTTTTTACAAAGGTATTTGAACAAAAAGCAAAGGAGAAGTTGTGGTTTGGTTTTGTTGCATTCGACTTTAAAGTAAGTTTGAAAAATGTCAACTGTGGGCCCACTCCAAGTTTGGTAGGTGACCTTTTGAAATTGGTGCTTTTTTGAAACATTTACAAAAAGAATGATAAATGTTGAATTTCAAATATTTTATGTATCTGTTTATGATGAAGATTCCCCCACACCCCAAACTATGCTGGACCAAACTACTGATTTGAAAGGCATGTCAGATCTTGATGGGGAAGTCAACTTATTTATTCCTTGTTCGCTTTTGGTGGTGAAATGGACATTTATTTGTATAACCTTCATTTGAAATATTTGTAATTTCATGAACACTTTATAAACTTTGTTCTTATTTCAGTAGGATATTTTTCATTGCTTTTGTGTGGTCAAAAGGTGCTGAAACAGATTGTGGCTCCCCACATAAACTCCAGGTGGCTTCTGTGAATGCTATGAGGATATGTGGCAGCCTGTTAGAAATAGGCAGATTCTGATCTGTCCAGTGGCAAGATTAGTGGCCAGAATCTTTGTGAAGGTGCAAAATGTAAGTTCCAGGGTCTCAAATGAACTACAGTGGAATCATTCCAGTCATTATTGCCAGATTTGGTAAAAATGAGTGCTCAGTTTTGTTTCTCCTGAACCTGATGCCAATTTGAAAAAGGAAAAAATTACATTCTCCCAGCTGGTCTAAAATGCCACAGTGCGCAAACTTGACATGGGTTTCCAGAGTATCTGGCCCCAAAGTCTAGAAAGGCTCTAGTTTTTGTTGATAGTGTACTTGTTGTTTATTTTGTATGGTAAGTATTTGCTATTTTGAATTTAATTATTGTTGATGTCAGTCTTGGTTGTGTATTGCATATAGTGTAATTTATAAATTGGTGCAAAAAGCACAAGTAAATTATACATCAAATTTATTATAAAGAAATAGTAACTATTTTAACTTTGTTCACCTATGTGGTAATTTGCTCCTATTAGAGTAAAAGAAAAAGGACAGTAAATTATTATCAGTTTGTGTAACTTAAGAGTATTCCATATAATATTTTTTTAGATGTAGATGAGTAAAATTTTGAATGTGAAAATTGCAGGGCATTTAAAAACATATGTGGGGGATATTTTCCCATGTTCTGTATTAATTAATTTTCTTTTGCCATATGATTTGATCTGTAATATAGTCAAGCATACTGTGAATAGATTTTGTCTATAATGAGCAACCTTGTAGAACTACTTTTTTTTAAAAAAAATGTAGTTAGTGTAACTTTAGTAGATAGTTTCTTTTATAAATCATTATATAATTTATATCTTCCTAGGTGAGTTACTCATTGCAAAGTTTGACTCATGAAAATGACCTCAGATACATGTCAGCTTACTTAGCTGTGGCAATGCTCATGTGAACTGCTTGTACACTGTGACAATGTTTTACTCCAGCCTGCCCATTTTGTGTTTACTCCAGGCTGGAAATGACTTTGCCAAAACATTAAAGCCCATTCTTTCCACAGAATTAACATGCTCTTATCTGCTTTCAGAAGGTAAATATTTACACTGCAGCTAGTTTTTATATTCAGGGTGTTTTTTTTTTCCTCTGAGAATCATACGCTTAAAACAGAGTTTGTGAAATTACTTTTCACCAGGTTCATATATCCATATATGACTGCTTTGGCAAAACAATCAAAATGTGAAAGATGTACTTAGGTATTGTGTCCTGTCCTGGTTTTTTGTTTTGCTTTGTTTTCTTTGCCTTTTCAAGAATTATCGGTATTTAAAATGCCAGTTTTCACTTTAAACCATGTATTTTTGTAGCTCAATATTGCAAACAGCAGTAAAACTGTTCTCAAAAGTGAGTGTTATAATTGCATAGCATTTGTATGCACTTTATATTTTGCAGAAGTTAATTAATCCTTTTGCACATGAAAGCTGTGGAGTATATATACAAACTTTATTGTATTCCTTTTTTTTTTTTTTAGGCGAGGGAACTAAGTCAAGGTGAGATGCTATAATTCCAGACTTCTGTAGAAAGTTGAGGAAAATCCTAGAGCTGATATTCTGCTAAAGAGAACAACTGGGATTATTTTTACTTTAGTTACATCATACTTTCTCCTATTTATTATTCTCTCCTAAGAGAGCTTTTTTATTTTTGTCTGGTTTTTGGTTTTGTGGTGTTTGGTTGTTGTGTTTTTTTTCTCTTTTTTTCCCTTTCTAGCATCTATACTATTTTCATTATAATGTTCGCAAATGAAAGCCTTAGCCTATGGCAGAACTTGATAATGTGCTGGGTGAGACAGAGAAGAAATTCGACCCCAAGTCCCCTTACTTTTAAGGCCTTGAGTTCTGATGAAGTTGGGTATTTCTGTCGTGATTCTCAGAGAACTTGACATGCATGTTTACCCTGAAGGCTCATTCCTCGTAGGGTTGCACGTGTCATGTACTTTGTTTCTTGTGACCAAGAAGTAGAAGACCCCTGTCTTCAGCATTTGTCGTCTTTGCTGCTGTATCCACAGGACACCAACACTAGAGATTTTAAAGCTGTCAGGTCCCTTCATAGGCAAGGCTAGCTGATGAAAACGCAGTGAAGACTAACAATTCTCAACTTTTTCTCCTGAGATACCTGAGCAGGGCTGATGGCATTTTTCTTCCCTCCTCCCCACTGCTTAAGAATAAGGCTCTTAGAAATTTTAAATAATAGTTAAACATTTGGAAGAATTACATTGGAAAAATACTGGCTTCCAGAGTAAAAAGATGAAGTATATAATACCCCCCAAATTAATTCAGATCAAATTAAGCATGTAATAATGTAAATAAAGTCAATTATTTTTAAAAAACACACATTTTGTGTAGGGTTGGTCAAATTTTAAATACAGTGGAATTTCATTACATGTAATAGTTCTAGACCTTCCTATTTTCCCCTTGCTTAAAACTATAAATGAATAAAAATGCTCATAAAGTAATGGTTCCTCCTCAATTTTCCTTGTAAATAGCTCCAAACCAGGGGTTCCTAAGCAAGATTTTGACCTTGTAAAGAAGTGGCATTGTATTTTTTAAAACCTTTTTAATGGATGTGTTTGGATAAAGATAAAACCATTCCCCTTTTCGCATTTTATGATGGACAGGTGTTAAGTTGCTTTCTACATGTGGAAAAGTTAGACTGCATTTATTTTTAAATGCAGCTATTAAAGCATTTTTTTCTTTCTCACCAACAAAAGTTTTCAGTATGAATAAATGAGGAAACATAATTTAAACAGTTCAATGCTTATTTTCTGTAAGTTTTAGTAAAATGTTTATAGACTAACCATAAAATGTTTGTATGTCAACATGGTAAATTTACACCAAGACCACAAATTGCATCTTTTCCATTGTCTTTGTTCTTTGTGTCATGCTTGTAACACTGAATGAAAGTAGACACTAAGGTAGCAAAGAAGGAAAAGACCATTCTTTATTGAAGAATTCAGGTACACTCCCCATTTATTATTTTTTATGGTCCGTAGTTTCCTCTTAATGTTCATTGTTATTTGTTGGCAAAATAAAAGTGCCTTAAGTTAGAAATTTGTTTTGAGACCCATGAAATAAATCTGAATCCGTTCATAATGCATTTATTTACAAGTCTTTTTCTGCATGTCCATTGTAAATTCAATATTGTAAATGTGTTCAGGTTCATTTACATGCCTATGGCTGCCTTTGATTAAACTTCTTCCAAAAAATAAGTTCTGTGCAGATGTTGACTTTGTTCACACTGTTGTGTTTTTTTTTTAACTTTATCTCCTGTCAGATTACTTCAATGTAAGTTGTTGCATAATCACTCCCGAGTGGGTTCCTGGCTGTGCATTTGTAAATCCCTGAGTCAGAGGTTTGAGGTTCTGCATGCAAGAGTGTCCTGTGGGTGAAGCACCCCACTTCCTTGTATCATGGAGAGCAGGGAGCTGTGTGATGGCGTCTCCCATGTGACTTCTGGCCTGGACGCTCCCATAGCCACTCAGTGGAGCTGCACAGCCACTCCTGTCCTTGTGAGGATACTCCTGGGAGGGTGGTTTGTAATTTGGGGAGGAGAGGCCACAATCAATACCTGAACAGTACTCTCTGCATGACCCACACTATTTTGAGCCTTACAGATATAATTACCTCTGTTATGAGCAGTTGCTTCTTTGATAACTAAGGTGCCATTGTCATACAATATGTGTTTTCCATTAGTTTGAGGCTTTTGTAGTATTTGACCACTTGGCAAAGTCCATTTGATGTTTGGCTTAGGGCTTCCATCTGACACACAGTGCAGCCACAGAGATTCTCCACTGACCCCTTTTACTGTCCTAAGTGCATATGTAAATATAACTGGCTTCTGCCCTATTTCCAGTACAATCAGTTCCTCAATGTAGCCGACTTTATTCCTTGCTGCACAGCAATACTTCCCTGCATCATCTCAACTTGTTTTAGAAATGAGTAAAGACCCATTGTCTGCAATCCAAAACTGAGGATTGTGTGATGCATTGAAAAAGCTTGTGCCGTTGGGCAAAATCCAGGTGATTTCCATCAACAGAGCAATTCAGTGCTGTGGGCTGTCCCAGCTGGGCAATGATTTTTTTCGTTAAATGGATTCCTGAATGTTGGTCTTCTGAGCATTTCCACTACTTCTAACTGCACCACCAGCACACTTTCCCCTCCTTCGTTCCGAGCCACACAGATGAAGTCTGCTGAATCAGAAAGCCTCACATTCCTAATCTCCAGGGTCCCATTTTTGTGGACTGTGATTCTACTCCCATAGTATGGGGCCAGGAGGAAGATACTGTCTGGCATGATCCACATAATTTGAGGAATCGGTGTCCCTTCGGCTCTGCAATCCAGGTGCTTCTTGGAATGCCTCACAGCTGTGGCTCGGATGACAGTTTTATTTGTATACTGGCCATTGATTAATGGAGGTTTGGAAATGATGTTCAATTTGTACATCTTGGTGTCCTCTCCATTGGGATTTCGGGCTTTACACACATACTCTCCAGAATCAAGCAGTTTTACTTTGTTGATGGATAATGACCCATTGGCATGAAAGGTGTACCTATCATTAGAGAATGTAATCATATTATTGGAAGGCAGCAACCAAAATATTTTTGGCTTGGGTTCCCCAATGACATCACAGTCAAGGATAGCGGTGTCTCCAGCCTTGGCTTCTTTGTCAGTCTTGTGATCCGGCCTTATCTGTGGAGCAGCAGTTATGACCGTTAGGTGGACCTTCATCTCATCCCTCCCTAGGGTGTTCTGTGCACGGCAGGTATAATCTCCTTCCTCTGTTATCCCAACTTTGGTGAAGTATAAGGTTCCATTGTTGAAAAGGATATACCTCTGGGTCTTGCAGCCGCTGTCTTCTTCTTGCATTGCATTGTTAATCACTGTTCCATCAGGCAAGCTCCAAGATATCTCAGGCACTGGGGAGCCGGAAGCCTTGCAGTCCACCTGGAAATATCTTCCATGAAGCACCTGTTTTCTGAAATGCTGTTTGTAGTCAATTTTGGCAGGTGTCCGGCATAGGCTAATGTGCATCAGTATCAGGTCATCTCCCATTTTGTTTCTAGCCACACACAAGTAGACTCCACCATCTTTTTCTGTTACTGATGCAATAAGCAGAGATCCATTTGGGTAGACATGGATTCGGTTTCCCATTCTAAGGAAAGAAGAGAATGAGTGTGTAACTCTTAGCAGAGGTGGATTTGAACCATATGCTTTTGCAATGGCAGTACAATTTGTTACCATTTAGCCACCAGAGCTCCCTGACCTGTCCAAATTGCTAAGAAGCAATATTGTCAGTTTAAAGACGAGAGTGTGTCTCATTCAAGCCATAGTCTTTTCAGTTCTCATGCATTTGAAAGTTGGACAGTGACTAGGATTACAGAAGAATGGATACATTTGAATTGTAATTTTTGGAGAGAAGTATTGAATATCCCAAGGACTGACAAAAGCACAAGTCTGTCTTGGAGGAAGTACAACCAGGTTGCTTTTTAGAAAGATGGTAAAACTTTCTACATACTTTGGCCATGTTGTCAGAAGGGGCCAGGCCTTGGTAAAAGCATACTGGCAAAGGTGGAGGGTCAGAGCCACAAGCAAAGACCCTCCACAAGATGGACTGACAGTGACTTTTAATGGGCTTGAGTATATCAGGGGGGTCATGAGGGTGGTGCAGGATAGGACAAGGTTTATATCGATTCATTTATTAATATTTATTGGTTCACTGCGAGTCATAGTTAATTGCACCTAGCAGCAGTGAACAGGTAGTAAAAATATCATTGCCCTTCAATCAGCTGTCTCATAGCAGTCCCGTGGAGTATCAGAATAGAAATGTACTCTATAGGGTTTTAGATGGTTGAATTTTCAGAAACAGACTGCTAGGCCTTTGGAAGTTGATCAGGGCTACTGGGTAGACCTCCATTAATAGCCCAATGTGTTAATAGGTTTCACCACCCAGAAACCCCACTATACCACCTACCTGCAATAGCCACCTTTAACCACCAGGTGGCAGATCTTTATTAATAAAACTAAAACTAGATCTTCTGAAACAGTACAAGTTAAATTGAAAAAAGATAAGAATACCTATTGCTAAAAATCTATAAAAATTTTTTTTAAAAAAAAATCTATGTTTCTCTTCTAGGAGGGGGTGTGTGTGAGTGTGTGTGAGTGACATATAAGTAGTTGTTTAATGCCGTCAAGTTGTAGACGACTCATAGCGACCCTATGAACGAACAGCCTGAGCACTGTTCGTACATAGTTTCCGGAGGCAAGCCATTTTGGAAGTGGATGCCGCTAGTGTGGACCAACAATCAAATGACTCAAAGTCAATATTTTGGTAAACTTCTCTAGTATATGTTCCTAAGAAGTATGGAGAGTTCTAAAAGGGCAAGTTATGGTCTTCTCAAATTTTCCCAAGTATGAAAAAGAGCTTCGTTGGCATGCATGCATTTAGTACAAACAAGTAGTAGTTCTCAGGTTGCCTTCGATGAGTCCCCTTTGCAGAAAGAGCAGTGATAGCAGTTTAGAGACATCAGGTACCCCTGTGCATCTTTGGTCTTTCCAAGTCTTAGCTATGCATCTGAAAGAATAAGAATGTCAGAAGTCTCAATGCCTTTTAATTGTGTTGAAGAAGAGTAATGACACAAAAGAAGGGGCCTGAGAAGGTGCAACCAGGCTGCTTTTTGAAGGTAAAAATAGTGAAGCTTTATTTCACATACTTTGGGCATGTTGTTAGGAGGGGCAGTCCTTGAGAAAGGACATAATGGCTGGAAAGGTGGAGGGTCATTATAGGTGAGGAAGACTCAGCAAGCTAAATTGACACCGTGACTGTAACAATGGCCTCAAGTATATCAGAAGTGAAGGACACAGGATAGGAGAGGATTCATAGAGTTGCTATGAGTCTTAGTCAACTTGATGGCACATAACAACTCAAGATGTATGTCTGAATTCAATAGGGTAAAAAGAGCATAATGGACAGTAGAAAGCTTAGAACTGCCAAGTGCTTTGTGTTAGTCCTTCCTTAGTGGGTAGTTAAATAGATGCCACAGCTTGGCTCAACTCAAAGCCCTGGCTCCAAAACCTTGCTTTTTTCTCAGCTGTGCTTGTGTCACTTGATACACTTTCCTAAACCAGAACCGAACTCATTGTCTTCAAGTCACATATGACTCACAGCAGCCATCAAAGATTAAATAGAAGTGCCTCACAGAGCTGCTGTCTAAAAACATGGATTATCAAACATGAGTGAAGAATAAAATCTTCTGTGAAGTTTAAAATAATACTGATGCTCACCTCAGATCCAGTTTCTGGACCTCATTGCAGTTTCACTGTTACCTCAGAATCACTTGGGAACTTTAATTAAAGAGGACTTCCAACTGGTTCTTTCAATAACACTCCCATTGAGAATCTGCCAGAATATATACCTTTCACCTCAGTTACACTAAATCTGAAGATATGTTTTACAAGGTCTGTAAGTATCACCCAGTGATCTTGTTTAAATGTAGATTGTGACCAGTATATCTGGGATGGTAATGCCCATTTTCCAGCTGGGAACTGAACCAAATGCACCTACTGGAAAACTCACAAATCTGGAAAAACAAGGCAGTCCCACTGAATCCAATCCCATCTGGGTTTCATAATGTACAAAATAAAAACATAATTTTACCTCTTTTCAAAAGACAATTTACCTTTGAAATTAGACTTCTCTAACCTAGGCCAGGCTGTTTCTTGGAAAAGGACATCATGCTTGGACAGATGGAAGGTTCAGCAAGCAAAGGAAGACACCCCCCCCCCAATGAGATGGATCGACATGGTGACTTCAGCAACGGACTCAAGTGTGTCAGAGATAATGAGGATGACACAGGATAGGGCAGGCTTCAGGTCCACTGTTCTTACGGTTGCAACTTGACAGCACCAAACAACATCAGCAAAGCAAAAGGAATCGAATTCTAAAGATTAAAGAATAAGTGTTGATTTTTGAAAGTAGTAATTTTTTAAAAGTTTTATTATTTGTGTGTGTGTGTGTGTTCGATCAAATTGGATCTGGCCGGTATCTGGATATCCCCTCCTTCTCCAGCACAGCACAATTCTCCTGGATATCTTTTTATCAAAGAGACTTGGGTATAGCAGCCCTGCAGCCCTGCAACTGCACCAAGCCCAGGTGCTGCTAAGAAAGGTCCCAAGGAGAGAAAAATACACCTCTACACTGAAGCATACATTGCACAAGATACAGTGAAACTAATCTACAGTGAAGATTGCTGCTGTTGCATACCATTGAGTTGGAACCGACTCATAGCTGATCCTCCAGTGGGTTTTCAGAGGCAGTTAATCGCACGGGAGGAGATTGCCAGTCCTTCTCCAGAGAAGCAGCTGGTGGCATCAAACCACATGCCTTTGGGATTGCAGTGCAACTTCTTGCCACTATACCATGTTCTAAGTCTCAGATGAAAAAAAAAAAAAATCGAGACAGGCTTCTTAGGTGATGATAAGTAGAATTTTATAAAAGAATTTTGCTTATTTGGGGCACTGTGGTGTGGACTTGGATCATCCGTAATTAAAGTTGGTTTACAAAATGATCAAAAGAAATGGAAAGAATTTTCACAGATGAAGATATTCAGATGGGCAACATGAGTCATGCTCAAAATCACTGACAATAAGAGAGCTGCTGTTCAAAACCACAATGAGATACAATCTCACCCCTGTAGCAATGGCAAAGTCGAACAGAACAGCAAGCAATAAATGTTAGAGAGGATGCATGAGAAAAATCTGGCAGGGATCTGGTAAGACAGGGCAGTGGTGGGCATAGTTCAATGTTAATTAATTTTATAAAATAATGAATAAGCATGATCATATAAAACAAAATTTGAATGGAAAAAATGTGTGAAACACAATATGTACAAACTTTGTAAGAAAACCAATATAAAAATTTTAAAATAGAGAGTTTATCTAATTTCATTACAGAATTTCGCCAAAAAACTGGTCAGAACTCATTCTGGAGTGCTAAGGCTTTGTTTTAGGGAGCTCTCGTGGCTTAGTGTTAAGTACAGTCCCACAGGCACAGGGTTCACATGCACCAGCTGTTCCACATGAGAAGGATGGACAATCTTGTGCAATTTATAGCCTATGAAAACCGGCTGGAGGGTCAGTTAGGAGTTTTTTCTGACTCAATGCTACATAAGAACACCAGTTTGTTTTAGGGAGTTTTGGTGGCCTTCTGGAAAAAGATTTGCACTGCCAATCCAAAAATGGGGGTTAGAATCCACCAGCTGCTTCACCAGAGAAAGTCACCTTCTGTGTGATTTCCAGCTTCTGAAAATCCATGGAAAGGTCACCAATGAGTCAGTTCTGACTTGACAGCACATAGTAACAATACTTTGTTTTAAAACCTTTTCCAGGGGAGCTCTGGTGGCCTAGTGGCAAGAAGCTGCACGCAATCCCAGAGGAACACGGTTCAAATCCACCAGATGCTCTGCCGGAGAAGGAGGCGCAATATCCTCCTGTACCAGTCAGATCTGATTTGACGGTACACGCACACAAAATAAAAAAACAAAAAAATCTTTTCCAAACTCCTTAGGATTAACTTTACAAGATAGTCCCTTAATTTTTTCCCCTAACCCCTGATAAAAAAAAAAAAATTACATTTTCTAAAATTGTCTTACTGCATAATGAATGTTTTAGACCTTATATTTACAACCTATATTTTGAATGTGTTCTTTCCAGCTCAAGTGTGACGCCTTCTCCACTGTTTGTGCTACTTTCTGCATTGGTAGTGAAAATTACATTCTCATTGTACAGTATAAAAAGCAGTCTCTATATATGAGAATCATATTTTACTAGCTGTGGCATTTGACATACACTGATTTCAGAAAATAAACCTTACATTCAGTATTAGTTACAATGACTTAAAGGCAAAAATATATAGTACGGTAACACAAATGTCAAGCGGATGGCATGTTACTGTGAAAACTTTGACACATTGCATGTGTAGTGGATAGATAACAAAGACAGCTTCTAAATTTCCCATTTATACTTTGTTGTTGTTAGGTACCACAGAGTCAGAATCGACCTGTAGCTGACCCTCCAGCGGGTTTTCAGACCCATCCATCTCCCGTGGAGCAGTTGGTGGTCTCAAAACACATGCCTTCGTGATTACAGCACAGCTTCTTGCCTCTAGACCATCAGAGCTCCCTAAAGTTTGATATATAAACTTAATTTAGCTTATTAATCAGATAATTTGATTACTAGATATTATTTGAAAAACTAACATTTTTTAATTAAAGATTGCAAAGTAGGAACTCATGGACTGTATGGAAGAGCAACTACTTGTAACACTCATGAGATCTCTTCTGCTTTTAGCAGGAGTTTGGTTCGTTTTTGTTTTATTAATTTTAATGAATCCTTATCTCTTGGGCACACCTTTTCCTGCGTAGATACTTGCCACTAACAAACACATAAAATGGAAATGTTTCCCCTGGGGAGAGGCGACCCTGAGGAGAGCCACCCAGCCCCTGGGGAAAGTCACCTGGTGTGTATGAGGAATTTTATCTAAGCCATTTTCCTCCATTTCCTCCTTAGTAAATCTATAAATCCCTTTTCCCTAAGTTTACTCTCTTTTCTATAGGTAACTTGAACACTGAGTCATCCCAGAACCTGAACTCTGAGCCCAGTTCCAGAGACAAAAGGGAAATATAACAGCTAGCTAAGGAAATGAAGGTGGATGAAGCCTCAAAGTTCAGCCAGCCACTCCCACTGGACTCACCCACACAAACACCTGCAGTCCAGAGGACAGAAAACACTATGAAAGTATATTCTAATAGAGCAAGAAGGCATGCAGCTTCAAATCAAGACAACCAGTAAAGCGTTAAAGTGGACCTTATTGCCCCTTGATTTCAATGCCCTTGTTCAGCTGAAGCAGCCAGAGAGTTTGTACCCCTATTTCCAAATGCAAAACCCACAATAAAAAAGACATCTCTTTGTTTAAAAAAAAAAAAAAAGACTAATCACTATTGGACTGTGGCCATCTTTATTCTGTCTTTTCTGGTCCCTGCTGGATTTTTCTCATTTCCTTTACCTACTCCCTCCATCCACCAAATTATGCAACCCTGTGATTTCATCCCAACCAATTTCACCCTTCTGCTCCCATGGATCCCCATTGGATTGCCATTCATGTTTTTATTACAATAAGTAAATATTTTTTAAATGGAAATACTTATCTCTCTTTTTTCTGATATTTTATGGGGGGAGGACTGCATAAATGATATAAATACCAAAATTGATACCTCTTGTAAGCTATAATTGGAGTCTCGGGATGGTACAGTGTGGTTAGTGTACTTAGCTACTCACTAGAAGGTTAGAGGTTAGAGCTCACCCAAGCAGACACATCCACAGATAAAGGCCTGGAGATTGATTAAAAAAATCGGCCCTTTCAAACCTCAGGGCATACAGTTCTGCTCTGTACACACAGGGTCACAAGAAATCATTCCATTCAACAGCCAAGTGAATTTTTGATAAGCTATAACCATGGTTTTGGCAAAGAATATTTAATATATTATGGACTGCCAAGAGAACAAATCTCTTGGAAAAAAATGTAGCAAAGTGCATCCTTGCTTCATCTCATATACTATGGACATACTATTGGGAGGAGCTACTCCTAAAAAGAACATCACATTTTGAAAAGTAGAGAGCAGAGAAGAGGCCAGAATTGGCTTACACAAAAGACAGACTGTAAGAATGGCATAGGATCAGGAAGAGTTTGATAATAATGGATGTAACTTCAAAAAGGGTCTTGCAATTTTATGGAAATAAGAATTTATGCTCTGGTTATACCACAAGTCAATATAAGACTCTGAGTAATTCTAAACAAAGTATAGTACTATTTGTTGTTGTTATGTGCCATTGAGTTGCTTTGCAACTCATAGTGATCCTATATACAACAGTTCTGAACCGTGCTCTATCTTGAGCCAACCTCATTGTCTGACACACTTAGCCTCATTATCCCAGTCACTGAGTCAATCCATCTCATCCAGGTCTTCTTCTCTTATGCTCTCCCTCCACCCTTCCAAGCATGATGTCCCTCTCCAAGGACTGTTCCCTCCTTGCAATATGCCCAAAGTAGGTCAGATGGAGTTTAGAATCCTTGCCTCCAAGGAGCAGCCTCCTTTCACCCTCTCCAGGATGAACCTGTTTGTTCTAGCAGTCCATGGTATACTCGATATTCTTCTCCAGCACCACAACTCAAAGGCATAAATGATTCTTCTGTCATCCTTAGTCATTGTCCAGCTTTCTGATGCATACATAGCAAGTAATTGCAAAGACCATTTAGGATAGAGTTAATATAAATATGTTTGCAATTACTTTTTAAAAACTGTAAATAAATGAAACTTTTATCCTGTATTAAATTCTATAAACAAAATAAGAAGGTGACCCTTAGAGTCAATTACGATTTTTTTTAAAAAGCTCGGCTTTCATATTCTAGATGACATCAAAAGGATCACCTCTCTCTTTGAAAGTGCTCCTTTGTGTGCAGAATTTGTGGGTACAGTGAATTGCTATGAGGATCAGTGTATCTCTTTTTCCACTTCACAGTAGATAGAGAATATTACACAGATAGAGTAAGATTTCAGCACAATGACATGTGTTTACCTGTGCCACTGGTCTATGACACCTCCAGATTATTTGGGGCTTGGGTTCTCCAGTAGCTGAGCAGTTCAGTAGTAACTGGTCCCCCAAATTCACTTCAGTCCATTTCTGGGATGCAAATTCTATCCTGGGAATGGTGTGTTTCTCTTTCACCACAAGCACTATCACCCTTCTTTCTGAGCCAGTAGAGCTGGTAGCAATGCATTCGTAAGTGCCGCTGTTCAAAGAGGTCACATTTCTAATATAGTGAGTTCCATTCGAATATAAGAACCTGGAATTTAAAACTTGCAAGGGTTTCACTTCCGTGCCGTCAGTGAGGACCCAGTGAATGCTGGGCTGGAGAGTTCCTTCTGCAGTACAAGGCAGTCTCAAATCTTCACCCCACGTCCCCACAAGGACTTGCCTCTTTTGTTCTAGAATAACAGGTGGGGCTGCAATGACTTATATTTTAACCAGCAGCAAGTCCTGCCCAGCTGAGTTGTTTACTATGCATTTGTAAAAGCCACGGTTATAAACACTGAGATTATGGATGACCAATGTTCCATCAGATTTCACCAAGGCCTGCCTATTTCCTTCAGAGGATTCTGAAACCACTGTTTGGTTTGCCAGAATCCAGGAAATCATAGGGTTGGGCCTACCTTCAGCTTTGCACTTTAGCTCCACCATACTTGGAGAATGAACTGTGAGTTCCTTAGTATGTTTCTCCAGGATTCTGGCAGGATAGGAAACCACAGACAAGGTGACATGAAGACGGTCCATGCCAAAGGGATCGGATGCTGAACACAGGTACTGTCCTTGGTCCTGAACGTCCACACTCTGAATGGATAGAGTACCATTAGGAAGCACCTGAAACCTGCTATTCTGTTTCCTTTGAGACAAATCAAGTCCTGGTAAGAAAAAGAAATACAGTGATAAATCATCCAAGTTTAGTTAAAAATATAATTTGTTCAACTGGTAATCTCAAGAGGGAAGCAATCTTTTTGTTAAGCTGCTGAAAATAAGTATATTATAAAAATAAAATTAGGACAGATAGTCCTCAGATTACTACTAAAATTTTTCCTAGGATTTTATATTCATATGCTCATAATTCAAAACCCATAGAAACATAATGGCCATTCTCTCTTTTAAACTCTCATCAGTTGAGGTCTGCTTTCAAAACATTTAAAAAAGATTCTTAATATATATTTTAAAACATTTTAATGAGCAAAAAATGGTAGGGTCAAATGAGAATGTTAGTATTTTAAATGTCATGGAAAAAATCTGAAACTGGTATTGAGTCTCTGAATAGGTTACCCAAGGATATAACACAATCTTTTTCTTTGTTTTATAACTATAGAAAACTCAATGATATGGAACAGTTTCAAATACCTGATGAAACTCTGGTCCAGTGGATGGTGGGCTGGGGGTTTCCAATGGCTTTACAGGGTAGGAAGACATCTGAGTTAGCAGGAACAGTAAAACTTGCAGCTTTCCCTCCAACTATTCTAGGTTTTTCATATGTATTCCTAGACAACAAATCAACAGTAAGAAATTCAGAAGGAATTATTTTTTTTAACTTGTATCTTTGCAAAGTTTCTCTTCGCTTGGGTCTTCTCATCCCAATTTGATGTAGGAGTGGTGTCCTCTGGCAAACCTGAAGTGGGTAGCATGCTTACCACTGGACTTTTGCCTGCTCTAGCAATTTCTGGGTATAACTTGTGCCAAAATTGGTTTTCTGACCGGGGAGAAGGTGTCCGCTTGGACACCTGTTGTTTAACCGTGATTAATGACGTCACAGGAGTAGAATGTAATGTGGTTCCAGTTGTGACTTTGGCATTTGGGTGAACCATAGGCGGTGTTGTAACCTCTGCAGCCAACTGGCCTGGATTAGCATCATGCCTTGAGGACTCAGGTGGTTTGACCACTGTATTTACCATCATCGTGAAAACAGGACGTGCCGTAGTGTCAGTAAGTGCCCTTTGGTTGAAGAGATGAATGGGACTTGGCATGAGAGTGGCATAACTCTTCAGGGACAGTGGCACAGTTGAACGTCTGCTGGTTATTCCCCTGGCTGTGTTACTGTGGTGGTGTTTGGTAGAGAGTTGTTTCAGACTCAGCTGTGCTTGTTGAAATCTGAGTACTTCCTTGATTTAGTTCTTCAGTTCTATCTGTCAGACTAAAAGTTTCTGAGTGAAAACCAGTTGTGCTTGAGATATTTATTGGATTTTCTAGGGATGAATGAGTAAAAGCAGAGACAGTGGACGTGCTGGAAGCTTTGCCTGTGGTGAGCACACCAGCCACCTCAGCAGTAGCTGTAGTGACGTCAGGACGCTGTGCGGGAGAGTCGTTTGGGTTGTTCCTGTTCTTCAGTGGCTCCTTTTGTCTTTGTACGTTTTGGATTTCAGGTCTGACTGTCTGGAGTTTACTGATAGTGTCAGATGTAAAGGCAGTTAGGGAAGCTGTCAGCATGCCTATTTGCTTTGATATGAAGTTTGTGGTATGTGATTCATTGCTTGCAATATGATCTGCTGTTGAGTGAAGGGATGGGAGTGGCTGCTCCTTCATCTCTAAGAGACTTCTTGGGCTTTGTGTTTCAGTTCTAGTATGATGAGTTAGAGCTAGTGTTACAGATGGCATCTGCATCACACTTATCGAGGATGTGGTTAAACGGAAGGAAGAAGCCTTATTATATGTAGGAAAAGCAGGGAGCGTATTTAGAACTGGTGAGGCTGTGCTATTTTTGGAAACAAATCTTTGCTGTTTCTTTAATATCTTTTTTTGAAAATAGTTTTTTCTAAATCTGTGATTCCAGGGAACTTTTCTTCTCGTAATGGCTATAGTACCAGTCATAGATGGTTTAGTGATGGAGTCTGGAGGTGGTGATTTAATCAATGAATCCCTTTTAGTTTCATAAGTCCTTGGGACATTTGGGAGACCAGTACTCATTATAAGCGTTTTTCCATATATAGGTTTTAGGGCATACATCCTGGCTGCACCAGTTGGAGTCACTCGAATATTTTCAGCACTGAAGGGTTTGATTGTGGCTGTTGTTTTCTCAGTATGTAGTAGTTTTCTGTCGAATAGCAATGATGGATTCTGGTGTATCATTATAGACTGTTCAGATGTGACTGTGGCAATATCAGCTTGGAAGAGAGTGACCAGTGAAGAACTTGGAAAAGGCAGTGTTATGGTACCAGGGGCATGACTGTCTGTGGGAGAACAAGATGGGCACGTCAAACTGAACTTGCTGGCTGAAAATGTAGTAGAGCTGTCTTCAGAAGAATCTCTGAATCTTGGTCTCACAAAGCTGTATCTATGCCGTCTAAAAACTGGAGTTCTATATTGGTTGATAATTCTTGCTCTGGCCCCAATTTTCCTCTGTCTCCCAAAGTGTCTGGAAAGTGTAATATTAGTTGTACTATTTCTAGAAATCTGGAACTTAGTAGTGGTGTCTGGTTGTGTAGGGTATTGAGAGAGGCTCAGTGTTTGAGTACCTTTGGAGTAGAAATTATTTCTCTTGGATATGCTAGTTATTTTTCCAGATGTCTGATCATCACTTGTGGGATTTACTGATACCAAAAAAGCACCAACTTTACTGTTAACATTACTAAATACTTTGTTACTGACATCATTGATCATAGTCCCCACTATTACTGAGGGTATATTTTGAAAATATTCTCTATTGCTTTCCATCTGGTCCATGTTCTGAACTCTAGTTGTTCCAGAAAGTAGAGGGGAAATAGTATGTGAATTTTGTTTGATGGTGTTTTGTGTTGTGGTTGTTGGATTTCCATTCTTTGGCGTGGCTGTAGCTTTAATGGCATTATATAGGTTGACATCTATAGATTTTTCAGGTGGTAGAATTTGTGTACTCATAATTGGAGATACTTCAGTGCTAGAAGTTAAATCCATCACAGGGCTACTAAGTATTGTTCTAGAATCAGCAGTAACTGTCCTTGCAGGGACATCTGGCACTTTTGCTGTCAGATCAGTAAATTCTTCATCCGGAGGGAGCATACCCGAGCTAGCTGATTCTTCACCAGGTACTTTTAGGACTTGCGTGACTGGTGAAGTCAGCTGTCTTGTGATATTTTCTTGTTTCTCTGGGGCAGAGTTTTTTTTTAACTTTGTCCAAAAGTACTGCCCAATGTTGTGGGTCAATTCTCTGTGCAGAGGGAAGAAACTGCCTCCTATGCACCCTAAAACATCGATTTGTCAAATTTCCACATCGCCTGTGTTTTAGCTCCCGATAGTTGTGCTGCTTATTTGTGCTCCATGCTTGTTTTCTAACCTCAGCCTCCATTGGAGTGGATTTAGGGAGCTGGACAGCTAGTGATTCCTGAGGATAAACAGTGGGATTGGGTTCATCAAGTCCAGAGCCATCTGTTCCTGCATCTTGTTCCACTGGTCTTTGTCCTTCCATTTTGACTGAAACTTGGAAAATCAAAAGATCAACCCCTGATGTGTTGGCTGCTATACAGTGATAATGCCCCTGGTCTTTTGGGGTGACCTGTAATATACTTAATGTGCCATTTTTAAGAATTTGCTTGTCTTTTGACGACTGATAGAGAACTGTATTTCTGGGAATAACCCAGCTAACAGAGGCATCTGGGATACCAGTAGAATGACATGGAAGGTCAAGTGTCTCATTAATAAAAACTATGTGGTGAGCCCCATTTTCATGATGAACTCCCACATCAGGATCTACTACAGTTACCCTATAAGTGAGAATATCTGCGTCATCATAATTAGTGCTTATGCAATGGTATAAACCTGTGTCAAAACTATTAGCCATCTGAAGTTTCAGTTTTCCCCTTTTATCGATTAGAATTCGTCCAACTTCACTAGCATAAGGGGCTTTCACTTTACTCCCATTGGCTAAAGGCCACACTAAATGTGGGATGGGGTCTCCTTGGCCTGGGTAGTCAAGTACAGTGGTCCCACCAAGCAAAACTGTATGTTGAAGCTTGGTATTGTTATACCTAGAAATCATGGTCCATTTGTGTTTCACAGGCCTCATCTCTGTCCTGGACAAAGTTATTTGACCATAACTTGTATAGTGCGTATGCAATGTACTCAGGGTGGTAGTAGTTCTGTTCAGTTGCAAGGAAATTAGGTCTTGCATTAACCATGAGGGTTCTGTTCTGAGATCAGCCTCTATGCTGGTGAAAATGTCTTTAGGCTTAGAAACCACCTGTTTATACTTACAACAGAGCTGTGGTAGTTCAGTAATTACGTGGGTTTTTTTTTTTCTAGTATCAGAGGAGAATCACTATACAAAGATAGAACTTGCCATACTGGTTGAATGTGGCTGTAATCTATGTTACAAATGAGAAATGTAGAAAATGACATGTTTAACACAAGGTAGTCATTTTCTTCAGTGAACCTGATGGATGATGTCCTTGACGGTTTCTGGATGGTACAGCCCACCTTAGCTTCATTGCCAGACTGGTCTGTCACATTTAAGGTAAGGGAGCCAAAAGGTGCCATGAAATCTTAGGGAGAAATAGAAGCAGAAGTGCTGTCTTCCAGAACAGTCAGGCTGTGACCTTTCAGGGATGGGTCAATAGTTGGCTTGACACATAGGAAAGCTGTAGTCGGGACCATGGTAAAGGGCTTGCCTTTGGAGGCCCTGGGGTTCATGCAAACTGGGCATTGCTGAAGACTGGAGGCACTTCTGTCTCTTTTGCATTTTATCATATCTAGGGGGGGAAAGAACGATTTAATTATTATGAATTATGGCTTTGATATGAATTAACATTTGATCATTTTTAATAAGTAGCTTTTGTAGGGTTTGGAGTTTCCCCCATATTTAACAGAACATCGAGAGATTTTTACATTTCTTGTCTTTCAGTGGAGTTCTAAAACAGGAAAGTATTGTGAACGTATCTGGCTAAAATATAATATCCATTTAAAAAAAACAAACAAACAGTTGCTGTTGAATTACGTCTGACTCATAGTGACCCCGTGTGTGACAGGGTTGAGTTTTCAATGACTTTTGTCTCCAGAAGGAAGTCACAAGGCTTTTCTTCTGAAGTATCTCTGAGAGAACTGAACATTCCCTCCTTCTTGTGATTATCATTGTTATGATTTGTGCCCTGTACCTCACTGGTTTCACTTCTCAATGTGAGGAAGCAATATTAATGGGCACATTAGGCTTTCCTCCTCTCATGGAACTGAATTATGTTAAGACCCAGATGTGTGAATCAAGGTTTCTGGGAGAGGGAAGGAACTGAGGCTGATATAATCAAGACTCAGATTGTGAAGACTATTATTTGCTGTGTAGAAGAGCTTCAAAGTATATCCTCTCCGAGGGTGATGTAACTAAAAAAATTTGACACAGCCTAGATAGATCCTTTCAAATCATAAAATCCTCCTCCTTCAAATACTTAGATATTGTAAATCTGGTAATTTTAAAGTACTCCTCTCTTGAGGCTATTTAAAACACTGTTCCCTGAGAACTTGAATAAGATGTATAAGATCCAAGATGGCGGCGGAGGCAGAGACAGAGTGGTGAGCTGCGGGAGCAGCGAACCACTTAAAGCAGGGCCATTATGACCTTCCACAGACTTCGGCTTATTGATAATTGAACACTTAAACAGTTGATGACTGGCCCTCAGTGAAGATCGAGGCTCAACAACAGGAATTCAAGGATTCCCAAGGAGAAATGGGCCAAAAAAGATGATTACCTATGCATTGGAAAGGCCAAAGAGGACGATTACCTATGCAATGGATTGCTGAAAGTCACTGTGTGTCTGATGACCTTAACAGTGGCAGCATGCACAAGAGGACTGACATCCTAAATGCACCACATATTTTGTTCTGTTGAATGCTTCTGCCAAAAGATGGTTAGACCTGGGGGGAGTCTGTTCACAATTCTCAGGTTCCCTTTATCATATATAAAGGGGGAGGGCAGTGACACCTACTTCAAAATATAGTATGCCCACTTATGGGGGTGGGGGTAAAAGTGGCAGTGCTGGAATTGGAAACACTATCCCTGACCACAGAGTCCTCAGTCAAGTGAGGGGACCAGTCTGGGGTAGGGGCAATTGGAGGGGGAGTATACCAGCCAGCTCCTGGGGGGTGTTGCCCTGCTCGGGATGGGCTGCCCTCGGCCCCCAGCTCGGGGCGAGCCACCACGGCCCTCAGGGTGAGCTCCTCAGTCCCCAGATTGTGCCATCTGACCCCTGGGTGGGGAAGGAGAAGAAAAAAAAAAGAATGCCTAGGGTATCCAGAGAATGTTACCTAGGCCACCTTCTGCCACCCTTCCCCCCACCCCACCAGTAAACCTGAAAGCAACACCCTCAAAGCCCTTCTATTTGTAACTCATGAGTTTGTTCTCTCTAGGTTTGCTCCCTTTCCTATAGGTAACCTTAACTCTGAGTTTTACTCCAGAATTGACCCTGAACCCAGTGCCAGTGACAAAAAGGAAATACAACTGACAGCTAAGGAAGCAAAGGAGGATGGAGCCGGAGCCTCTGGGTTCAACCAGCCATCCTCACTGGACCCACCTGGGAAAACACTTTGCAGTCCAGAGGGGAGCAAATGACAGGTAAATATCTTCTAACAGAGTAAGAAGGCAAGCAGTTTTAACCCAAGACCACCAGTAAGGTGATAAAGGGTCCTCCCTTCCCCCCTTTACATCGACGCCCCTGTTCGGCATGAAGAAGCCAGAGAGTCGGCATCCAATTCCCAAATCAATAAGACAGTTGGTTTAATTACTATTGGAAAATGCTTGTCATTCCTCTGTAGCATCTGGTCTCCACTGGACCCTCATCATTTCCTTCACCTGCTCCCCACACCGACCAAACTGTGCAGCTCTGCAACTTCATCCTGGTCCATCCTCACCCTTCTGCCCCCAACCCTCACCTCCTTGTACCCCCAATATGTTTTTCCCAATAAAAAAAATAAGATGTATAGAGTTATACTTTAAATGAAATCCTCCTGGGACTTTCAAGCTATCCATGTAGATTCTCCTATATAATGCAAGGGATAAGACATTTAAGAAAAAAACATAATAATTCTTCTTGTTAGCTACTATTAGGTTGGCCTCCAATTTATGGTAATCTCTGTCTGACTTTGCCTCTGTAATTAGTTGTGAGGCATAGAGTTTTCACTTTTATTTCTTTTTATTTTATTTTATTATGTTCAGAAATAGACTGTCAGGGAGCTCTGGTGGCCTAGTGGCAAGACGCTGCACTGCAATCCTAGAGGTACACAGTTCAAATCCACCAGATGCTCTGCTGGAGAAGGAGGGGGCAATCTCCTCCTGTACCAGTCAGATCTGATTTGAAGGTACATGTAAAAATAATACAATAAAAAAAGAAACAGACTGTCAAGTCTTTCTTCCCATTCTGTCTTATCGAGAAGCTCTAGTAAAGTCCCCTCAGTATCACCTGCATTGGACTTCTCAGAAGATCTAATTTTCCAGAGTGGCCCCATCATTGTTCCACACAATTCACAGTTCTCAAATACCAAAGGATGTCTTTCCAACCAAGGATCCAAATTCTCCGTGTGTATTTCAAAAGTAGCATTAAGAAAACATCAGCATTCTTATCTTCATCAAATTTCATGGTCTAGATTTTCACAGAGGAGGTAGCTGGCAAGTCTGAAAATCTTTCAGCATTTCCATCTACTTACAAGGCAATTGTGACCTCTACCTGCTCATCAAACTCTAGGCTCAGACCCTAGTATGGCAGAGAGTATGGCAGATCCCTGGCTTAATCACAGAATTATGCTCACATCTTGGCAAGCTTTCTGTTACTAGCACCTGATCCACCATGCTATATTCCAGTCACACAGAAATACTTTTAATTCCTGAACTTTGCCATATCTTGTTCAGTAATCAATTGTGGTTATCTACTAAAAATCATGGTATACACTCCATGTCTATAAGAGTAAACAGTGATCTGTAAGCATTCAATGGATGATTGTTAGAAGTAGATTCCCCGACCTTTTTACCAAAGTGCCTCTGGGTGGATACAACCTCCAGCCTTATGTTAAGCAGATAAATGTATTAATTCTTTTAAACACCCAAGGACTCTTCATTATTTATACCATATTTTTCCACATACTTGCTCTTTCACATACCCTCTTCCGTTAATGCCTAGCTGTTGTTGTTGTGTGTGTTGAATCAGAACCAACTCATAGCTGACCCTCCAAGCAGGTTTTCAACAACATAGTTTTTTTTTTAAAGGTAACATTACAGTGAAGATTAGTGTGTAAAAAAAGTTAAATAGGAAATATATTTTCATGAAATAGTCTAAATTAGAATTAAGAAATAGCTGTACAGAGTAGATGATTTTATTGTCTGCTGAAGCTCGTGTCAAGTCATGGTGAACCTGTCTAGACTGGAGTAGAATTGCCCCCTAACATTTTAATGGCTGCAAACCTTGAGGGAAGCTGATAGCCACATCTTTCTCCCACAGTCCTGCTTGGGGGTTCAAACCATCAGCCTTTTGGTTAGCTGCTGAGTGGTTAAACATGGAACAACTCTTCTGACGGAAAGCTGGCTAATCCATCTTTGAAACCATTATCTCTCCCTTCTCATTGAAGTCAAAGATCACCACTTCTATGAAATCTTTAAAGTAGAAGCAGAGCAATTGCTCTAATCCTCATGTTGCCACTTTGATCACACTTTTGGAAGACTACCTAGTAAATTATCTCTTCATATGCCTCAAGAATTCCTTCTGAGGCTTGAGGACATGAACATTCCTTTATTCTTTTTTAAAGTTCTAAGTACATAGGAGATAATCAATTAATGAATTTTACAAACTCAAATATTTGTGGAAAGAAGTTAGATAGAAACTAACAAATCTATCGGAGGGTCAATAGCAGCAATGGTTAAGGGTATGGACAGTGGAAACTGCCTGCCAGTCTTCAGATTTCTCTTCTATTGTTTACTGAAACTTATCATAATAGGAATGAGACATCATGCTGGAAAATGTAAAGGCTCAGAGAAAGAAAAGAAGACCCTCAAGGAGATGGATTGGCACTGTAAAAATGGGTTGGAATATGTCCAGGATAGAGCACCTCACAAGATAGAGTAAGGTTCCAATTTCGTTTTCAGAAGGTTGCTATGAGTCATGGTTTAACAAGAGCAATCACCTATTCATGTATCATTCTGAACCAATTACTTAAATTATCTCTCCATTTTCTCACCTGTGAAATACAATGTTATCACTAACCGCATTGGATTATTTTGAGAATTAATAATGCCTTTAATATGAAAATAAATCTACTCCTTCTAGTCATTATTTTAAGAAGTTGTTGTTGATGATATGCAGGGAATCGATTTGTAACTGACTCTACAGCAAGTTTCAGAGGCAGCAGCAGATCACACAGGAGGAGACTGCTCATCTTTCTCCTGTAGAGCAGCTGATGGTTTTGGACTGCTGACCTTTGGCTTGGTCGCACAGCTCCTTACCACTAGGCCACCAAATTCCTTATCTTAAGATCTTACTTAATTGAAATTAAATAGTTACATAGCTGGGAATAATAATGGATAGTTTAATGATTTGTTTATCCAGTTCCCTCAGAAGAATGCACACTCCACGAAGGCCTTAATCTGCCCTGTTAGTAATTTCCGGATACTCGGACTGTACAGAATTCTTGCATATCATGTACAGTGAGTGTTGATGGCTGAATGTATTTTGCGCTACTCATGGCACCACTTGCTCCATGAAAGCATACTTTACACTTTAGTGTTTGTTGGGTTGTCTGTATATTACCTGAATAACTGAAAGGGGATAGGAAAAGGGAAGAGTTTTCATTGCTCTTGTTAAGTAGTGAAGAGTAACACACATATTTCTTATTTCTCAGTTTTTCCAAAATTTGGTAGCCAAAATTTACCCAGAGGGTTGACAAAAAATGATTAGTTCATTAATGAATAAAGAAATTCATTGTCATTCATTGTATAGATTTTATTTTTTTTTTCTTTCCTACATCGACTGCCAAGAAAACAAACAGATTCATCCTGGAGAGGGTTAAACCAGGTTACTCCTTGGAGGCAAAGATTCTGGGGTTTCGTCTGACATACTTTGGACATGTTGCAAGGAGAGACAGGTATTTGGAGAGGGACATCATGCTGGGTAGAGTAGAGGAAGGGGGAGGGGAAGACCGTCTATGAGGTGGATTGATTCAGTGACTGGGGTAATCGGGATGGGTGTGTCAGAGGCTATGCGATTGGCACAGGATAGATTAAGGTTTAGGGCTGTTGTACATAGGGTCGCTATGAGTCGCAAACGACTCAACAGCACATAACAACAACAACAACATCTCTGGTGACCTAGTGGCAAGAAGCTGCACTGCAAACACAGAAGTCATGTGGTTCAAGGTTACCAGCTGCTCCACAGAAGAAGAAATGGGCAGTCTCCTCCTGTATAATTAACTGCCTCTGAAAACCCACTGGAGAGTCAGCTATGGGTCTGTTCTGATGGTACACCATTGCCACAACAAATAGCTAAATTTCCTTGGCCTTTTACTTATATATACACCTTCAGACAAGTTTCCACCATTCTTTTTATGACAAAGATATAAATAATATAGATACCTGGCTTTTCCACTATCCAGTCAGACAACCATTTTAAATAGCAATCACAGATCCACGGGTTGCCATGAAGATAGAGGCTTTCCAACTTGGGCATATTTAAGACCATCTCTTCAGGGAGCAAGGTTAGGAAGTTGTCTGACAAGTACAGGTACTTGATAAAAGATGTTTTAAATATCTGGAGATAGCGCAAAGAGACAAGTGTATCTGGATGGAGTTTAGTTAGCTGATTTCCTTTCAAATGTACCAGTTGAAGAAAGGTCAGTCCATAAAAAACCTCTGGATTTATAAACTCAATATTGTTGTGGTCCATATGCAACCGTGTCAAACTCGTGAGACCATAAAAAGTATCTTTCTGAAGTCTTCTGACTTTGTTATAGCTCATTTTTAATACCTAAGAAGGAAAGAGATACACATTTATGTTGTCAAAAGAATTTTCACAAAGGAGAAAGCATATCAATTATAAAATGTTGAGATAAGCCAATGCAATGCATGTACCTTGTTTGGGTCCTAATGGAAACAATTTCGTTCCAAATTTACATATAAGAATATCAAGGAAATTATACATTCATAAACATCTGATGATTTTAAAGAATTGTTACATTTTAAAAGATAATAGAGTTCTTATTTTTAAAAGATGACTTTGAGATGTACATGGAAATGCAGTTGAAAAATGTATATTTTGGATTTGTTTCAAATGCCAAAATAAACAGTGGAGTGTGTGCCTAGAAATGTGTCATTTCATCTAGGTTTTTAAATTTGTTAGAGTATAATTTTCATTTTCCATAACATTTTGCTGTGATTTCCTTTATCTCAGTTGGTTTTGTTGTAATATCTTATTTATTTAATGGTCATTTATATCATCTATTTTTTTACATTTCTTAATTTGACCAGTGAGTTGTCAATTTTATTGATCTTTTAAAAAAACCAACTTGTTTTTCTTAATTTTGTTTCTCTGCTTTATAATTTCATACCCCACCACTACCACCCTCTGCTTGTCCTTTGTACGTGGACTGCAAAGAGAACAAAGATGTCTGTCCTGGAGAGGGTGGAATCAGGCTATTCCTTAGAGGCAAGGATTTTGTGGCTCCATCTCATATACTTTGGACATGTTTCCAGGAGGAAACATGGAGAATGACATCATGCTAGAAAGGGTGGATGGAGGGACAGGGCTGAAGAGGAAGATTCAAGATGAGATGAATCGACACAGTAACTCAGGTAATGAAGGTATGTTAGAAGCAGTGAGATAGGCTCAACATAGAGTGTCGTTCAGAGCTATTGTGCAAAGGGTCACTATGAATTGAAGTTGACTCGACAGCACATTAACAAAAACAACAACTTGTCTTTATTATTTCCCTTCCTTTGTTATCTCAGGATTTCTTTTGCTCTTCTTGAGTTTGTCCAAGTTATCAGATTGAGTTTTCACTTTTAGACCTTTCTTCATTTTGAATATGTACAATGTTTCCTCTGAGTACTTCTTTTGGCAAGTTACATTTCCATTCTGACTTAATTCTAAGTCTCTTTTCTTCCATTCGATTTTTTTTTTTATTTCTTCCAAACTCACCAGACACTTTGGAGAAGTCTCTGACAGCAGACTTTCCCAACGCAATTTGTCTTTTGATTTCCTAACTGCTGGTGGCCAAGAGTGTTGTTGATTGTAGAGCTGAGCAAGCTGAAATTTTTAACAACCTCTACCTCTTCTCCATCAATCATGGTGCTGCCCAGTGTGGTGAAAATCTTTGTCTTCTTAATCCAAATTGAAGACTACAGTCCTTGACCTTCTGCAGCAAGTGCTTCAAGTCCTCCTTTTTTTCAGCAAGCAAGGTTGTATCATCTGCATAATGCAGGTTGTTGAGTCTCCCTCTAATCCTGATGCCAAACTCTTCTTTATAAAGTTCAGACTCCTGAATGATCTGTTCTGCATATAGATTGAAAAGTCTGGGAGACAGGATGCATCCCTGACACATTTCCTTTCTAATTTTGAACCATGCTTTCCTTGCTTTGTCCTGATGACTGCCTCCTGGTCCAAGCATAGGCTTCACATGAGCACAATCAAGTGTTCCAGGATTCTCATTCTTCTCAAGGTTAGCCACAACTTGTTGTGATCTACACAATCAAATGCCTTTGCATGGTCAATGAAGCATAGTTAGACATTCCTCTGGTACTCTTTGCTTTCAGCCAGGATCCATCTGACATTAGAGATAATGTATCTAGTGCCATTACCCAGCTTGTATTTCTGATAGTTTTCTAGTAATGTACAGTTCCAGTATTTTCTCTCTTTATTATTATTATTAATTTTAATGAAAATTTACAGAGACTTTGAATTTCCATTCATTCATTGTTGCACTTTTCTCCCTGCCCACCCTTCCCCCCAAGTACACTCTACTCTTTGAGAAGTAAAAGAAAAATTATTTCATTGTTTTACAATCCCTCCCCCCCAGGTCCACTCCACTATGCTGCCTTCGTTCTGGACTCCTGTCATGACAATAATACCTAATCACATATCCTTATTTAAACAGTTTTCTCCCTCATCTGTTTCAATGCAGTATACATTATTTATCCCATCTTTCTCAGTCTTCCCCCAACCCCGATGTCAGTCTTGTTTTACAACAGTGGCACTATGCAATATTTGTCCTTTTGTGACTGAGATATTTCACTCAGCATAATGTCTTCAAGGGTCACCCATTTTGAATACTATTTCATGAGTTCCTTGTTTTTCAATGCAGCATAGTATTCCACTGTATGAATATACCACAGCTTCTCCTTCCATTTGTTTGTTGAGGGGCACATAGGTTGTTTCTAACTCCTTGCTATCTAGTTCCAGTATTTTTTAATAATCTCCAGCAGGATTTTGCTTGTGTGTTATATTAATGATGTTGTTATTATATACCAGCAAGTTGCTTGCAACTCATAACAACTTTTTATGTACAACAGCTCTGAATCCTGCTCTATCCTGTGCCAACCTTATTATTTCTACACACCTTACCCCAATACCCCAGTCATTGAGTCAATCTATCTCATCAAGTGTCTTCCTAGCTTGCTCTGTCCCTCCACTCTCCCAAGCTTGATGTCCCTCTCCAAGGACTGGTCCCTCCTTGCAACATGCCCAAAGCAAGTCAAATGGAGCTTCAGAATCCCTGCCTCCAAGGAGCAGCCTGGTTTAACCCTCTCCAGGACAAACCTGTTTGTTCTCCTAGCAGTATACTCAATACTATTCTCCAGCACCACAGCTCAAATATATTATTTCTTCTTCTATCATTCCTAGTCATTGTCCAGCTTTCTGATGCATAACAAGGAATTATGAAGACCATGGCCTGGATCAGGTACACCTTAGTCTCTAGAGTGACATCATTGCTCTTCAGTCCCTGACAGCAGACTTTCCCAATGCAATATGTCTTTTGATCTCCTGGCTGCTGGTACCAAGAGCATTGATTGTGGAGCCAACCAAACTGAAGTCTCAATCTCTTCACTGTCCTTCATGGTACTGCCAGTCGGCTCAGTGGTGAGAATCTTTGTTTTTTGATGTTGAACTTCAATACATATTGAATACTGCAGTCCTTGACTTTCTGCAGTTCCAGCAAGCAAGGTTGTGTCATCTGCATAATGCAGGTTATTGGTTAAGTCTTCCTCTTATCCTGATGCCACATTTCTACTTGTAGAGCCCAACCTCCTAGATAATCTGTTCTGCATAGAGATTGAAAAGGTATGGAGATAGGATACATCCCTAGTGTACAACCTTCCCAATTTTGAATCATGCAGTGCTTCCTTGCTTTTTTCTGATAACTGCCTCCTGATCCAAGTATAGTTTTCACATAAGCACAATCAAGTGTTCTGGGATTCCCATTCCTTTCAGAATTAGCCACAGTTTGTTATGATCCACATAGTCAAATGCCTTGCATAGTCAATTAAACAGATAGACATTCCTCTAGTACTCTCTGCTTTCAGCTAAAATTCATCTATCATTAGATATACTATTCTACTACCACAGCCTCTTCTAAACCCAGTTTGCAGTTTTGCACTTCTGGCAGTTCTCTGCTGATGTGCTGTTCCTTTCATTTATGGATAATTTTCAGCAGAATCTTGCTTGTATGTGATATTGATATTGTTTGATAATTTCTGCACTTTATAGGGTCACTTTTCTTTGGAATGGGAACAAACACAGATCTCTTTCAGTCAATTGGCCAGGTGGTTGTCCTCCAGATTTCTTGGCACAACCTAGTGAGCACATCCAGGGAAGTGTAATTTGCTGAATTATGTCAACTGGTATGCTGTCAATTCTTGGAGCCTTGTTTTTTTCCAATTCCTTCAGAGCAGCTTGAACTTCCTCCTTCATCACCGTTGCCTCTTGACCATATGCTTCTTCATGAAGTTCTTCTGCGTCAGCCAATTCTTTTTGATAGTGACTCTTTGTACTCCTTCTATCTTCTTTTAATGCTTCCTGGATCATCCAATAATCTGTCCATAGCATCCTTAAGTATTGCAACTTGAGACTTGAATTTGTTCTTCAGTTTCTTCATAAATGCTAAGTGATATTTACCTAGGTTGAATGCTACCTCTTCTGTAAAGTCTTCCTGAGCATATAAATCAGTATTATCAAAAGACCATTGAAATGGTCTCTAGTGTTCAGGTGTTTTGTTCATAGGATCGCTATGAGCCATCTACGACTTGATGGCACTTAACAATAACAACATATTTGAGATTATGTTTGGGCTTTTGTGGACTTGTTTTCATTTTCTTCAGCTTCAGCTTGAACCCGAATAAAAGAAATTGCTTATCTGTTCTTCAATTGGCCTCTTCTCCTGTTCTGACAGATGATATTGAGCTACATTGTCTCTTTCCACGGAGGTGGTTGATATGGTTATTGTGTATTCCATCTAGTCATGTTAAACTATAGCATTTCCATTTATGTTGCTGCAAAAAAACATTTTCCAAAAGAGTAGGCTCTTGATCTTGCAAAATTCTATTCAGAAATTTCCAGTGCCATTTCCATTATTAAGGTCATATGTATGGATTTATCTTTCCAATGTTCACCTTCCAATTACCAGTAATTATCAATGCATCTTGATTGCATATTAGTTCAGTGTCAGGCTGTAAATGTTGGCAAAAATCTTCAATTTCTTCATCTTTTACAATAGCTGTTTGTGTGTTGTTGTTGTTTTTTATTAGGTGCCAGTGTTGTTATTGTTGTTTTTTATTAGGTGCCATCTAGTTGAGTACAATTCATAGCGATCTTAGGAACAATGGATCTGAACTATGGCCTATACTGTGCCACTGGAACATTTCCTGACACATTAGAGCCCATTCAGGCAGTCACCATGTCAATCCATCTTGCTGAGAGTCTTCCTCTCCTTCGCTGACCCTCCATCTTTCTAAACATCATAGGAATAGCCCTTC